CCTCCTCATACCCGCCGCTCCTTATATCCGGCGTATAATACGGGCCCCCCACTTCAGCTCCAGATTTTCCAGGTTAAAAAGTCGTCTAATACGCCGGAAAATACGGTAAGATCATGTTGGATTGCAGAGCCAACTATGGTTCAAGTAATAATATTCAGTTTAGGAATTTTAGGACTTTTTAGGTGGCTCAAATAAGTCAGCTCTACCTTTGGAAACAAAGAAAGTATGGATTTAGGTGTTTTATCTCTTTGGTCAAAAAAAGATGTATCTTATATTTACAGTATAGTTAAAATAAAATGCAATCCATAAACACACACTAGCACATAAATAAGCAGAATATAAACAAAGCATGAAACCAATGTAGAAGAGTAACACTGTTAAAAGAGCCAGTGTGGAATAGTGATTTTAATGTTTGACATTGTCTGAAATGCATGGGCCAAATAAAATAGCTTCTGGCCACTTTGGGCACTTGGCATTTAGATGCCGCACGCTCCCAAAGTGTCCAGAAGCCACTTTGAGGCCATGCTAAGGTGGCAAGAGCTGGATCTTTTAGGAATGGATTAAATCTGCTCCTGCTAGCAGCCATGTGGGACTGCAGTGGTGGCCCACTTTGGAAGTGAGCCGTGCAGTCGCCATGGTCCTGGTGTGATTGAGTGCTTCGGCCCTAGGACTCCAGAAGACCAAGGCTCAAATCCCCACTCAGCAATGGAAACCCAGTGAGTGACCTTGAGTAATTCAGATTCTCTCAGCATGGAGGAAGATAATGGCAAACCTCTTCTGAATAAATCGAGGGACGGGACTACAACCCTATGATAGGGATGCCAGCAACAAACAAAAAACACTATTTTAAACCTGGGGAGAGAACAAAGATTTTCAGTTGGTGCCTGCATAATGTGATGGGTCCCAAATAAAGTAACCTGGGAAGAGCATAGCATATTTGGTGCACCACTGCTAAGAAGCCCCTCTCACATTAACACATACCTTACTTTAGATTTCCAACCAGCCAATCTTTATTGCCACCACCCTGGTTGAGAAAAAGATAGAGCTATTTACCAAGAAATCTCATTCAGTTTTTCTTTCACCAATAAGGAGGTATTAACTACCTCCCTAACCCAGCTAGTCAGCCTCTCCCTTCTAGTTCTTATGAGTCAAGAGGGAAAAGGTTATTACAGCACACTTCTTACACCACACGTCTCCAAGAATTCTGTCCACACCCTTAAGCCATAATTAAATCCTCCAGTAAAATAGGCCTATGTTGGCCTCCTAAGGATACATGCAGCAGACTGAACTGTCCTAATCATAACAACCAGTTCATATTTTCAAAATGCTTTACAAGCTCTGAGGGCTTTTTGATATCTCTTACTGGGCCAAACTGCACAAGGACCTCATCAACCTTTTGGAAAAGCTTAACTAGACTATACTGTACTCACCATAAGGTTTCAAATAGAAAATTACATCATCTGAATCCACCTCAAAAC